GTGATTGGAAGGAAGGCGACTCTCTGTGGATTATTATTGGTAAAAACATTCATGTTAAGTGGAGCGAGGCAAATCAGACTACATTTGCAAGGGTAATGCTACTTCCGAATGGAAACGAGCCCAAATGCCTCATTATACTGCACACTCTAGCTCTCCAGCCGAACCCAAAAAACAAAACAAAATGAAACAAAACAAGCCAAAATAAAAACGACAACCGGATAGGCTGAAATTCTCTTCAACAACACCCTCAAATTCCACGTTGTCTTCATCATGTCATGACGGTTTTCTTTGCTGCCACCCCCCCTCTTTATTGTGTACCCACACAACTCCACAGTCTGCCCACAAGCGTGGCAAATCAATTGATGACCGACCGAATGCAAGTTAGTTTCTAAGCAGAGAGCGAACCATCTGTCCATCAATAAGAGATCAAATATAACGTTACTAAAAAAGACTTGGTATTTTAGAGGAGAAATTTATGTACAACTTAAATGAACATGGACATTGAAAATATGCACAATAGACCAAACTAACTAATAATCTCACTAGTGGGCAAAATGGAGAGCATTATACATCAACAAAATCACTTTGATTTTAGTTGATCCTACACACTTGGAAAATTGCTCATCAAACAACTTTACTTAAAGTTTTGTTTCAAAAATGAGCAACAGGCCCAATTATTAAAAAAATTAAATAATAACAGGTTCAACAAAACCCTATTTGAACTTTTCCTGACACGACCTCACCAAGGACACACTCTGGTAGGCAGTGTTCCAAACAACTACAACATCATGGTTTCCACAAATTATTTGTCTTTGCTGAGTGAGTACGCCTTAGTCCTCAAGTGTTTGTTTCTTGGAATTCTATGCATGAAGATAAACAAACAAAACAAATGATGGCCATGAAAAAACTGTGGGCATATAAACTGAATAGTTCCTAATAAAACGACTCTACTAATAATGACGACGTAGGTTCCGAAATTTGACTGGGAACCGATCATAGGCTGATATATTTTCTTTGGTCAATGCAATTTATCTGTCGAAATTCAAACATACCCCCCTTTTCTTTTGTCCCATCCCTTAAACATCTTTGTTAAAGACTATTTCTGAGCTAAAACGTTAGAGATTGATTTATGCAATACCCCATCATACCTCTACGTTATAAAATACGCATGCGCAGAAACCAGCAAATCCTCACCGCCAGCTGTCCACTTTTCCAAATCCTCACCATGCGTTAAAGCGTGCGCGCGTCCTATCCAGTCTTTATAATGGAGATGGGGTCCTATCCATAGACATCAGAAGAATTCTTTTGGTATCTATGGTCCTATCATACGAAGCCATAGCTGACTCACGCGCGCTTTGTTCCCCAAAAACCTTAGCTTTATAGCAAACTGGCTCACTGTAGTTACTCGGACTATATAGTGCCAACGAATAGCAAACAATAATAACTGATGGATGATAGATAGAAAAAATAGGAACCAGGCGCCGATCCGGAAGGGGGATGAAGGGTCTAACTCCTCCCCGCTTTGAGACCAAAAAAAGAAAAGATAAAAAGGTAAAAAAAAATGGGAATAAAATACAAAGAAATAACGAAAGTGTACAGAGGTAAATGCACCAATACCATTGTAAACAATGGATGCCATTTAATGTTCCATTATCTTTTCCCTTTGTCTGCCAAAATGAGACAACAAAAATCCACCCTGAATCCCCACCCCACTCCGAGGAAAAATTCCTGGATCCGCCCCTGAGAAGAGATGTGTTTTATAGACAAACTCTGGAACAAGTTTATTTTAAGCGCATTTTTTATGTCGCTATAACACGCTTTGCAATCCAAGGCTTGTTTCCTCCCTGGACGGAATGTACACTCGCCTATCCTCTTTCAAAAAAGTGACAGTGTAAACACACCCCTCCTTCCCGCGAGAAACAGAGGCACCGCTGACGAAAGCGTATACATGCATATTGACTTAATGAATTTCGTCATGGTGTATGGGTACGCTGTACACGGTGTGCCTAAGTCATTAAAGTTATCAGCGATGCAAGTAATCTGAGGAAGTCGATGTCAGTCTAAGAAAAAAAAGGAAGACGGTTTTGTCAGTGCAGGGTGATGCCAGACAAACACAAAACTCTCGTGTCCATGCAGTTTCATTCGCAAAATCTGATACCACTGGAAGCAATACCCGGGCATAACAGGATCGCTCGTCAATTACTTTCTGACATAGCGTGAAATGAGCCCTTTCAAAATCTGGTCAGTCGTCAGTTTTCAATTCTAAAATTATTTTTATACTCGTTACTACCAGATTAGGCCTACTTCTACAAATATAAGTGACGTCTTTTATACATATGTGTTTGTTTTATTGTAAACCTCGGTGCAATTTCAGAGTAAATTGCAATCGTGCTGAAGTTAAAGAAATTAACAATCCCAAGTACATGTAATTAGCAGAGTGTAGAGTGTAACGATTCAGAATATGTGCACGATTTTCTATTGTCAAATCTAACCCAAGCGAATTTCACCGCAAACGTTTCATGAAGTCAAGCTGCTTCACTTGCCGCATCTACCTGAAATACATGTATGAATTGGCCTTTCATGGTGGTCGTCAGTGCACTGTGTCATAGACGTATCCAATGTGGGTGGCCTTGCTATATAAATAAACAAAGGGAGGTAATATTGAGCATTAATGGGTTTGGGCAGATGGGGCATTCTACTTTCAGTTGCTGAGGATAACCGTTTTGGATTTCTTGAATAATTATAAGGTGAAGCCTTGACAACACGCCCACCCAACACTATGAGGAAACGGGCGAAAAAAAAACTTTTAATTGAACTGGATTGTGCTCGATAACGCAATGTACTATATGGTTAATGTTTAGTCTACAGTGACAGATAGGGGCCTATAGTTCTTAACTGTCTGAAATCACTCAAAAACACCCATCACGGCAAAAGAGCAAAAATGCTGAGTGAATCATGTCGTCAATAAATTAACAAAATGAATGCCACAAATACATGTGGCCTCTGTCGTACTCTTATTTTGAAAGTATCTCCAAACATTATCTATTTAATAATACACACGAAAACCCCACGAAACAAAAAAGTCCAATTTGCTCTATGGGTCAAAAACAAACCTCCGAAAATAACTCAACAAAAAACATCTAGGAAATAACAGAAAAAGAACACTTAATACTGAAATTCGCGTGACCCCTTACGAAGAGCATTTAAAACCAGAATTTTGTAAATGGCTCTCCTGCCAAAATCCAGCAGCTTTGAGAAAATACAAGCAGCCCTTTTTCCTGATACGCTTTGGCCCTGTTGATTTAAACTCTGCCGAGAGAGAATTACCGAATCGATTGCTTTCAACTGTATTGTATTTCGCGTCTACACCCATGCCATCAATTTACTTCAAAGCTCAAGCCAAGCGTTGTCATCTCTAATTACAGGGCCCGTCCAATTAAATTGAGTTGAGTTCCAAATTAGGGGCCAAAAAAAGCTGTAAGCTTATCCCATCTTCAAAACAACTACTGTATATTATGCTGAACAAAGGATTTGAATAATCCCTCCGCTACTTCCAGGTTACCCGTCTAGAGCCTTTGGCTGTGCAGTATGCATTACACATGCAAAGACTGTTCTACCATGAAATAGAAAAACAAAGTAAATGTCGGTTCATACTTGGCGCGAAATTTGACACAAACGCAGAACAAATATCGCAATGCGAATTCGTAAAAGTTAACACATTCCAACTTGAGCGAAATTTCTCTGCAAGTCTTTTATGATGTCAAATTCGTTTCCATTTCACAGTTCAATTTAGAATGAACTGGCCTAAGGACAAAAAACTACATCCTTTTTTTTCAATATTTACGTTGGTGTTTGGTTCCTTTGAATTACGCTTTCATTGTAGGAACTATTACGTCGTGCACATGAATTCTAGCGCCCGAATTCCACGAGCAAATCTTCTCGGTGAGTTACGTAGTCACGTCCACGCATTGATATTGTGAAGTATAATTCTGCAAAGTACTCGAGTAACTCGTGCAATCGGTTTTAGTGATTCGAACGACCGATTTAGCAATTCGTTGGAACGAGTGAGAATTCGCGGGAACGAAATATTTACATAAAAAGATTGCACCCTGCCCCTTCCCTCGCCTCATACAAAACAAACCTACAATTGTACAGTATTTTGCTGCTCACCAAAATAAGCTATACTCAACCTTGCACGGGGGACTGGACATTATGCCGAAAAGCACACAGTTCGGTCCCCCAAGTATTATCAAGGCTTATCTTCATGGAGATGTTCGATACCCAGAATAATCGATTAAGATTTGGGTCACGACCGTACAATACTCGACTGAAGCATCCCAGGAGATCTCAGCAGTTTCTCAAATACTGCCATCGCTAAAGACATTCACGACCGATCCATACCACTGCACTACAGTTTCTCGAGAAGGCTCAACATTGTCTTACACCGGCCCGAGGTCCATAAAGGAGTAAAGCGGATCCCAGACAAGAGGCATATCTATATGACTTGGAAGAGTAATCCAACAGCTAGACCGAACACGGACGGGTCAACGTATTTCAAGTGGAGCAGAAGCTATACCGAGGAGGCACCCTTCCTTTTTTTAAATCTTGCACCAACCTGTTTCTTAATAGCTACATATTTTGTCTCCCTTATTTTTGGCTTCTGTAATGCCCCAGCAAGGTTGTAAGCGCTGTATAACGCCAGCGGTGAAAAACGCCTTTTAAACTTACTTATGCCGACGGCTTTTGATTGGGATGAATGACCTGGATGAGATAATATCTGATGTTCAAATGAAAAAAAAGACAATGTCTACCACACCCTTTGTGTTTGTTTGAAATTCAAAATACCAATAATGGTAAACAGTAAGCATACTGGACGCAGTTGGCCCAGTTCTTGTTCGTGAACGACAATTAAATATCAACATATATGCATATATGCATGTTAGAAAATTACCAATAAAATACAGGTTAACAGCAGACAGCGATGCACCAGAACACCTATAATCTTTTCCACAAGTAGACGTTTAATCAATACTTGAACCATGCTTAAACAGACTGAGGCCACACATCACTTCTACAGACGTGCCTTGCTATACAATTCACAACAAAAAATGAACAGACTCCACCAATAGCACTTCTATTGAGTAAAACAAAGAGAGCACAACATGCCTACGCTAAAACTGCATTAGCACCGAATTGCAACAGTATACATTTACAGTCTCAATAACACTGGCAGACCTTCCAAAATCAAACATCCATAAGGGAGATGTTATATACATGTCATGTAAAAGACGAAACAATTAACCCTTATGTGGGGTCCCTGGGAATAGCAGATTAGATTAGAGAAAAATGCTTTTGAAAGCGATGCGTCTTTGTTGAAACTATGTATCATACACGCGTCACGTTTATAACATTCACATTCTTAACAATTAAAAATTTAAAAGACGTTCTGTAGGAATCCTGAAGTCAAATCATCTAAACAAACCATGTTATGGCTTTCTGTGCACTTTTTGTCCATACTTTTGGTTGTTTTCCGGGCATTGCGTCTGAACACTTAACAAGACATGTCTGCAGATAGCAAATTGAATTGCTGGTAGAACAACTAACAAAACAGGCTTTTAGCTTTTAAACCATTAGCAATGACAAAAAACGTAAGTGCTGACTTCCACAGAAAATTTGATTTGACATTAGCAAAAGTGCTTGTAATATTTTGAATGTTTAACTATTTCCAATTTCAATCTTTCATTGCAGCGTTGTTTGTGTATTTCCAAAGTCTGTTTTTCTTGTGAGACCAATTCCCTCACATTTCAGTTTTGAATGAAAATGACGCCACCCTACCTCCTCTCCTAAAAAGGAGAGAGAGTGAGAGATATAAAACAAACCAGATTTCAGGTATAGCATCTCAAAACGCTATCTCAACCATACGCTAGAGGGAATGTCAGAAAAAAATCGTATGCATTGATCATATGTGGCACGATCACGCAGAAAAACCCAAAACTGGGGGGGGGGGAAGATCAGGCTGAGCTATGAATTCTATCGAGAAAATTCTCTTGAATAAAGTTCGCAGTGAAACAGTAACTTCTCATACTTGGCGGGTTCATACTTGGCGCGAAAGCGAACAAAAACGCCAAGTTGTCAGGCCAGGTCAAATTATATTCGGACTGCCAATTCGCAAATGTTGAACATGTTTCAACTGGGGCAAAACTTTGCAGCTAAACTTTCGTGACGTCAAAAATGGCTTTGCTTTCACACCCACCTGTAGTATGGCCAGGCCTTAACAAGAAAATATCGATTTCTAGTAAATGTAGACGTTTGCTTGTTTGCACTTGTTATCTGTCATGTCAGATCTTGTTAGTCAGTCATCAGGCAAACGTGTCCAGGGCCCTCGCCATCTTATGCCAATTAATTTCCGTACTTAAGGTCCCAGGCATGACAAGCGATTACATGGTTGTGGGAACGTGCACTGGTGAAGTTCTTATGCGTATTTCTCACCATGTTGAGGGATCTTTTAAAAAACAGACTGCCGGAAGCATTTTTTACTAGTGTCTTTTTGATAATTGCATTAAGTTCACAAGCCACTTCCGTCATCATGATCACAGACATGGCTAGATAATTCCAAATGGGGGAACAATCATGGAATTTACTCTTATTCCCCAACCTAACACTTTTCCATTCTTGGCGAGATCCCCATGATTTTGCTGACCTAACTGACTCCATGCAGGGTGTCACAACCCCTACACCTCTCTAGCGCCGCCCGTGATTATGATAACCTATATTCCAAACATCGGTGAGTACAGTCGTATACACAGCACTTCGTAACGAAAAGAAAAAATGAAAATAGTCTTTTACAGCCTACGCGTCAGAGTGTAACTGGTGAAGATGAATTATTTGCTGACATTATTAGTATATTGGTTTGGCAATTTCGCATATTAGCGCCATCCCATGGCGTCTCGATATTGATTTCTAGTGTAATCCATCCTGTCATGGCCAGGTATAGTAATGATGGTCGCTTGGTCCTGAGAGAATATTATAATTGTACTACAGTCAAGTCACTTAGGCAAATAAGTCTAGTCATTCATCAAACACCGGATAGCGAGTCAAGCGCAATCGCAAAGAACAAAGGTCGCCGTTGGTTAGGCAGCTAAACTGTGGCATGGGCAACGAAATCACGTCTAAGTACAGGGGCTAGAGAGAATTTTTGCTAAGACGACGTGACTGAGGAATGCTTGTATTAGTACCAAACATGAAGTTAAGTACTTAAGTACAGAATATAGATTTAAAGAATTGGAGCTTTAACTGACCATCGATGCTATTTCTTCAACCTGCTAACAGCCCTGTCCGTACACATAAATGTCACAAGCACCATGTGGTCCATGTGGTAACGGCAATTGATCTCGAAATAAACTACTCCTAAATGCTTTTAAGGAACAAATCTACCATATAAGACGAATGATAAAATACGTACATTATCTCTTTATGTCTAATTAAAGTATCACAAACACCAGATTAGTTTGTCTGTCTGTGATTGTGGTTCAGTCGACAAACGCTATCACAGCAAGTACCGAGTTGCTGATAAGGAATGATATTACGTTTTACTCAAGATTGTTCAAGGACACAGAGAACACTGCTGACTTACATATTACCGTCTTGTAAATAGTGAGGCATCTCTTTCGTCTAGTTTTCACTTCCAACCACGAAACAAACAATCACAAAATCAAACGTTAAGGTTCAGGCTATACTCCAAAAATAGTCAACAGGTGGCAGGCCTACCTGTACGGAGAGATAGTAGGAGTTAGAGAGTATGTCTTGAAGCATCTCTGTAATACACAGTCTCTTGTCTTCAAAACTAAAGCACTACAACCCCACAATCATTACAGAATTTGGCCCCCGCCCTTAAGAAAAATCGTCGTACCCTCAGACGTCACTTAGCAGATCAATTATGAACACTTTCGAAAACGTTTACACGCGACAATATATATCAATGTACGTTTATATTTTTCTGTCAATACAGAGGTTAAAACGACAGTGTAAATCTTGATCCTTTTGCAACATTATCACTGATGGTCGAGTGGTTTGAATTAAGTCATGTTTAACGTTCATTAGGTTTTCATAAAATTTCGACGCGGGTTGCAGTCTGGCATCTGTGAGATGCGCTTCTGGAGTCGTTCGCTGCAGCTGCATCGTTTTCCTTTCGTCCTCTTTGGGAGACAATTCCGCGGCACCGCTCAAAAGAGAAGGCCATCTTAAAGTTAGCCCTATACCTGTGACTCATGAGGGTGTAAATCAAAGGGTTGGCCACTGAATTCACATAGGAGAGAGCGCGGGAAATCTCAAGGAACAGACCCTGCCATTCCGCGGGAATAAAATTGGTTTTCTGGATGTCTCTGATTACATTGAACAATGCAATCAACTCAAAAGGAAACAGGCAGCAAAAGAAAACGACCCCATTAACCACGAGCATGCGGGCGATTTGGTTTCTCATAGTGACATTCTTGTCTTGAGACATCCCATGGCTGCCCAGGTTTTGTATAGAGCGGTCCAGACCTCGAATGATGTTAACGTACAGGAACACATTCAGAGCGAACGCGAGGAAGAAAGGGACCGTCTGCATGACGTTGGAGACGTAGTCCACCCATTCCTGACGAGATTGGCACACGTACATGTGCGAAGGAAATCCTTGGTACTTGTCTTCTTCAGGCCACATGAGGCAGTATTTGACGAACATATCCCGGGAAGGAATCAAACAGGCTACAACACACAAACTGAGTACCCAGGAACCAGCGCAGAGCTTGACCGGAGTTCTTTTCCCCCTTCTTCCCTTCGAAGCTTGTGGTCGACGGACCGCCAAGAAACGATCGAAAGACACAAGTGTAACGAAGCCAAGAGATGCAAAGTAGGTTAGATCGGCGATGAGATACAGCACGATGCATCCGAAGTGACCGTGTGGGCCATTGTCTCCTGGGATAGGAGACAAGTAGTACGCCCAAAGTTTGTCCACTATGGCGCTGAGCAGGAACAAAATGTCTGCTACGGCCAAGTTGGTTAAATACCAATTGGTGACTGTCCGCATCTCGGTTTGACGGTACACCACAAAAATGAAGGCTGTATTCCCCAGGATTCCAAGAAACAGGAGAATTGGTAGAAGAACAATAATTAAAAAACTCTGCCCGTCGTTATACGTGTAGGAATCCACAGAGTCAAGGGAGATATTAACACGGAACTCATACAAGCAGTCTACGCTTTCGTTCAGAGACATGAAGTCATCCATATTTACCAGCTCAAGGAGAGCACCAAATGCAGAGCCTGAACTTCGGGATGATTTACAGGGAACGGCCGTGTTAGCTCTTCGTGCGGCTCCTGCCTGCCCGTGGATGAAATACGCCACTCCTAAAATCCCTGTCGCACCGGGCTTTTTAATGTCGCCCTCCAAAACTGACATGCGCAGTATCCACCATCGGGCTTCGATCTCAGCGAACTCGCGCACAGTGTCCAGCATCCGCTTTCATTTGGCAAGTAGGCTGTGTGGAAACACACTGTCTGGTGCGACATAAAGTGGATGAACTGTTTGCTGAGAGATACGTGCAGGCAGCGCAGTCTGAGTCTGCAGGGTTTTTTCCTATTTTGTTTGCAGCAGTATCGTTCAGTGAACAAGGAAGAAAATGAAATGGTTTGGAAATTGGGATTCGATGAAATACATATTTCCCCATCATGAAAACAGAGGGGTTTCGTATGCACTGAATTAATATCCATAAAAATACTTACTTTTTAAGAGTAAACATTCTTGTTTGTTACTTAATGTCTAAGCGATGTTAAGTTACAGAAAATCAGCTTTATTGAACAATAATAAATACGTGCTTGACCAAGCTCAGGAGAAGGAACGCGACTTACGCCTGAGCCGCAGGCAAGGGCGTTATCAACATTCAGTCTCCTAAACCGGTCTTCAACGTTAGTTTAAGACAGGCCAAACACATGTTTTTTTCCCATTTATAGATATTTTTTTTAGTCAGAGGGTAAAACATGTCAATATATGATGGATTTCCAAACTTTTGTTTCAAAATTTTACTTTCATTATCCTGGACACCCCGTCTATTTTATGGTATATTCATTGTGCATGTTGTCCAACGGAATCTCCTTATATGGACTTGACACTGGCGTGGCGATCCGCGTCCACACAGACTCTTGACCAATCAGAATTGATTGAACTGTCTTGTAACCAGGTGCCAGCGCGTGATTTGCGCAGCTGGCCTTATCACTTCTCAGCGGGCATTATCAAATGTTAATACATGGTCAAGTTGCACGTTGTTGAATGGAGAGGCTTTATGAATTGTTTGTGAATAGAAACTGGCATTCCATCTAACTAGTCAAATTGTGGTTCCTGGGTTCCACAGTTGGAAAAACGTGGCATTGCTCATTGTTATGCGGATCGGAGTCAACTGAATCAAGCGTGCCCTTGGTTGTGCGAGTGTCTTGCGGTGCTGAGCTTATCCACCATTTACAATGAGCCACTTCATTTCAGAAATGCAGGGTCATTCGGGAACAAAGCACGCGCGCGATGAGACCGTGGCCGCACTTGTGGGTCAGACCTCACACCGGGGCCGAATGACCTAGACGCAGTTCATTTTGGGGCATACGCTGTTAGGAGTGGTTCATTTTGAATTGGACGGGAAGGTAAGCTCTTTATGTACTTATACATATAAAGCAAGATTTGGGTCGGAGAGAACCCCCCTCCCCGCTTTGTGTTGGTCATTATTTCACTGGAATCTAAAGAAATCTTTTCAGGCGTCGAGGGGGGAATGTGTTAGGTTACAATAGTCTAGAGTGTGTTGGCGATTGGACATGTTAGGAGGATACCCCTGTCTCATTTCGTGCTGGATAACTACTGTAGAGCAAACACTCTGGATGCAAATTGCATACTCGTAATAATCCCTGGCTCTTTGTGTGTCACTACATGTACGTGTAGTGCAATGGCTGTGCCCGTAATAAAGGAAGCCACCATGAACTTGAATGTATGCTTGTTGAAAATCTGTACTATTAAAATATTTCCCATCTGTTTTTCATAATGATTATTGTCCCAGATTGGTCCTTATTCAAGGAAGCAGAACGCCCGAACAGGACCTCATACCAAGTTGTGTGATTCAGAACACTGTAGAAGGTCTTTGAGTTTGAGGAGGTATACACCTAAGTTGAAAGGCCTTTGTGACTGCAACGCGAGAGGTGAACATGTTCTTTTTCTGCCTTCGATCTGTTGACAAAATCTTGCGAGCAAGAGGATCTCGCATCAATATTACATCAGCAGGACAGAGCGGCAAGCCCACAACCACCTTTGTTAGCACCTGCAGACTGTTGCGATTATAGTTTCCTTTCGTGGGAAAGTTCTGTTTCGTGTAATAAAAATGGAAGTGTTTAAGTTTAGAATTTGGTGCCATTGAAACCGGTTTGCAATCGTATTAAACAGACTCTTTCCACCTGAGTTGTAAATCTGAGCATAACTGGTGGAACCTCCGGCTTTGCCCCCCAAGAAGTAGTTTTCTGGACACAATCCTGAAGTCGACTAAGTGAGTCTTGGGTTCTCTCCAGAGAATAGCTTAGCTGAATATAAGTGGCCTTGTTACCTCCCAAATTACGGTTCATCACACAGTTTCTTCAAAAGGAATGCCTGGAAAAGATTTTCGCTTGGGCTTTTTAAATTCTCTTCTCTCGTAGACAGCCTATATTTTACCTTTAGAGATGACAGAATCTGCTGTGCGGTCTTTTTAGCTTTGACAGAAGAATTAAAGGGTAACAGAAATCAAAACTATTTAGTTCACGTGAAGTATTTCAAAATAACAGTAAATACGTAACCATTAAAAAAATCGTAAATTTAATGTTTACAACTTTAATTATGACCCCTAAATGAAAAAAAAGATCCTGCGTTTCCCCGTTCACAAAAAAATCCCCTTTTAACCGTTTGCGCTCCCTTGCTGATCAGATGACGTCATCGCTAGAACGCTGACATTTACAGTATACATGTACATGTACATTGCGCAAAGCACATACAGTGTCGCACGTTTGCAATTGACCACGTTGTATTTGATGTAGCTTGGCCCACAGGCAAACATTGTTTTGAAATGCTTACATGTTGTTATTATCATTTTCAAATACTTCACGTGAACTAAATGTTTTCAGTATCTGTTCCCCCTTAACTGTCAGCGTGCAAAGAGAAATGAACAGTAGAATCAACTGTGCAGTACAGATACCTCTGTAATGCCAGGTGACGAAACAATTTACTGTTAATAAATACCGCCCCCGTTCTTTTATAAATCATGGTTTGTACGAGTATTATCTGGGCATGTTAAAATGGCAAAATGACGGTTCTCAATGGGGCAGGGTATGCTATTGCTACCTCCCACTTCGTATTAGCCCCCTCCCCTTTCCCCAGAAGCTTCTACTTCATTGAAAAGAGCAAGCACATGTGAAAATAATTTCGACATTATATCCGTAACAGGTTGCCAGTTATGGGCACCTGGTGCATATAACAGGAGCGGCAGGAACCGTTTTCCAGACTAAGAGGATTCCCACTCCGGCGAGAATCACCGGTACAGGGCCTGAACCTTGAGCAGAAAGCCACATTGTGTCTTTGCTGGAGACTTTTTATTTCACTGAACGGCTATCTCCTCTTCTTTTCGCCCGTGAATTACAACGTCATTTACCGCAACAATAAATGACGCAGTCGTTAGGAGCTGCGGCCAAGCGTTGGTTTAGCTCTACTGCCCAGAAGAGTTAACGCTTGATTAATATATTTATTACATTAACAACGCATCCTTCCTCCGGAAATGATCCTGAATGATTAATCATTTGAGATTGCTTCAGAGTTTGCCCTTTTTTACATGTTAGTTTTCCAATGGCTATAGGCCTACATTTTGATCACCAGGACAGGGTGATCGACGTCCAAACTCTTGGCCCGCAACTGTTTGGTGCAAGGACAAGTACGATAGCATTGCAGTATCGGTTCCACGATGTGGAATAATCCATGTACATTAGGACTCATGAGTTTCTTTTTAACGTGACTTTTCACGTCACATCTCCTACGAGAACTTGCGGTTCGCCATCTTGGATGTAAGACTGTGTCTTTTAGTTTTTTTTAAGTCTACCGCTTTGGTTTATTGCCACCAGCGTGCCACACTGAATAGCCGTAGTCTGAAGTGCCGGATTTGGACATGGCCCTATACCAGAGAAGGCTAATGGAAGAGTTTTGTGAGAAATGCTCTGACATCAGTACATACGATGGATACCAAACCGCTTCGTGCATAATCCGAAACGTGCCTTCGTTGTGTAATACCTGTGTCATTCAAACTGTAACTTATTTTTACCGTTAAATGATTATGGTCGCAGGTGAAATATACATCGAGTCAAAGATCTTAATAAAAATTGCATTATTACACTACCCTGCTCAAAGCTAGGATGACATAAATGCAGTTTTCATATGATATCATAGACATACCTAAAGGCACCCTTTTTAAATTTTATGGTTCTCATCTCCGACCGAGCCTACTTTCGGCTCCCGACCTCTAAAAAAGCCTTTTTCCCACCGACCCTGCTGAGAGGACCTTGCCTCTAGAAAAAGTAGGTTGTGATGACCTGTGAAATAAACAGCCCTGAAAATGCCCAAACATCAACTCAGTGACGGTATCCACGGTACGGCATCGCTACCAGACCTAGCGGTACCGCACCCAATAGGCCTATACTACATGTATGCAGCGCAACAGGAAAACCAACACACATTACACACACAAACACCTTACGGGTGTCACGACACTGACTCCAACCATGTAGGCCCTACTGTGTTGTGTACTAATACAAATATTTATCTGTACTCAGCCAGAAACAAAGACACCCATGCTACTCAATAAAAAAAAACAAGTATCAAGTGTACATTGTGCACTTTGTCTGATTTATTCTGTCATCTATATCGTAACGATCATTTTTGTGTTTGGGGGGAATTTTTTTTTTTTTCAACCAACCAACCCTACCTCAAATGAATAAAAAAACAACTATATGAGAACCATAGAATACAAAAAGAGTGCCCTAAAACATATAGGCTTCTCATCTGAAGGTTGTCATAAGTCTCTTCACTGCCACTCTAAAGACCTTTTTTCTGTGTAAAATGTAAATGATTAAACAGAGTAGTACCTTATGACTCATAGTTACCGGGCATAACGACATCCTTGTCAAAGGTGCCAGTCTAATCATTTATGGAAAATTTTGTCGAGTGTTTAATCAGTAACTGTCTGGTCCAAGGAATCGCACTGCCTCTTGGGTCCGGACGGTAAGAGTTGGAACAGTGGCGACAGGAAACACCTGTCATCAAAAACTGTAACTTTAAAATAATGAGACGTGTTGCGTCAATTTAGAATTATGCCTGATGAAAGTATGTATCAACCAGACGGATCATGAGACCTTAAATGT